GGCAATCCGTCTACAAAATTAAGATATAAAAAGACCTGACTCGCCTCAAAATCCACATCTGCGCTGTGACCAACTGGCATCCATGACTGCGTGGTGTCGTGGTAGCATGTCGAAATTAAACGCAGGGACCCAGGTTCGAGTCCCATGCTGAAGAGATCCAGGTAAGGTCAAGGCTACATTCCACTGTAATCCTGGATGTTATACCTGTTGTGAGGCTAGGATAAGTGATATTCGACGACATCATGAGGCATATTCGTAGCATTGTGGTAAAATTCATCCATCCTCCTTTCATCACCTAATGCGACCTAAAGTGACTATAACTCTTATGTCCAAGCCTACCTACTTTTCTGAATTCAGCTTTGGAATTCGACCAAATTGATTAAAGCTACCATTTGTATGGTCTTGAAAATGCGTGTATATCAATGGATTTCGTTAAAAATGGCTTCTGTCTCGGTGGCGTTTGAAAGCATGCGTGGGCTCATCAGAATGCCTCCCGATTAATTTTGCCCGTTTCTTACATTATGCCTCTGCTGCCCTGGAAATAAGCCACAACGACCTGATCCAAGACCTTTTGGGCCTTGAGCAATTAAGTGCAAGTGATTTTGTTTAATTTTTTTGTCTAAATCAGGAATCAAGGCCCCTAACAACAATCGGCAGTCGAATATATTTTGTTATTCATTCATTGTTTATCATTAGTTTACTCATTTTCGGTACTTTCTAATTTGTGAACTGTCCTTTTCTTTTATATGCCAATTCCAACAACGGAATTGCCTAGGAGGAGGTTATTGGCAGTCCAGCTACATTTTCGCCTTCTAAATTGAACCTCGCTACTTGTCTACGTCATCGAACCCCTATCGCACCCTCTATAACACTTTTTCCCAATGAACTCATCGCCCGGCCGCCACTGACTCTAGGCCTGGTCGAATTTCACGCTGTTGCACAGCAAGTAGCCTTCGTCGCTAAATTGATGACAAAGGTGACTGGCATACGTCGTCAACATTCAAACCCCCGGAAAAACGAAACCGTCTTTAGGGAAGCTATGCCGAATGCAAACTACTCCCACCTAGACAATGAATACATGGAAAAGGATAGACATGGAAAGGAAAATTACGACATTTTAAACAAAGGAAGTCAGGACAACAGCTTGAAACAGGTTAAAAAGATGGCTGACTTTCGACAAAACGACCCACGGCCTCCGAAACGAGTAGAAGAAAAAGTCTCCGGAGGTCGTACCCTAAAATGGCCAAATATAGCCTTTGTGACGTCAGGTGAATCCAGGGAAAACGCCGGCTACATCCTATTTGAGATGCCTAGTTGGATTTGTAGCCAGGTAATTATTGTTAGTAGGAAGAGATTTTATTTCTCCAGGTCTCACTTAGTAACCATCAGCACAATACATAAGCAAATTGCATCAGATACTTCCTCTGATAGCTGTGAATAAACCCTTACTAATAGCGAGATCAGTAGCAGTTCGGGTTTCGTAGAAAGCTCTTTATCCTCTATGTGCGAAATTTCCCATAAAATCTGTAAAATTAGATATGCTTACTCGGCCTTGCAAGGTACTCTTGTCATGTAGCTTCGGGCATGATGTGTTTGCCTCTCAACTTACACGTTTATGGTTCGTATCCCACTGAATATGCTTACAAGACGACGATGAGAAGTCAACATTTCAGTCCAGTTAGGGTGAGAATGGCCATTTGGATCACATGGAAAAGTGAATTTCATTGCAGAAATTAAGTCTTCCTTTAGATTTCACATGAGTAGAATCTCTGTCTGCTAAATACATTGACTATTCAAAACTTTTCCATTTCTAGAACAGCTACTCTTTCCTATTGATTGTCATAATAAGCCTGATTTTAACATTATAATTAGATATATTTAGATTGTGTACATCTTGAACAAAGGCTGTATTCACCCTAGATTTTATAGGGTAATGAAGGACTGATATTTCAATTTTCCCAAGATAATATAAGTAGATGTCACGATGCCAGTGAATTTCACTTCTTCCTGCCCTCCAAAAAGTTTTCTTATTCAAGATGTAATGAACTTCCGACCGAGCCTAGGACTTATCTGCTTCCTCACCTAAAATTGGATGCGGGGAGTGCAGTATATTATGTCCAAACGTTACTACTACTACAAATTGCCACGGATTCCAATGAGTCATAAGGCAGACGTGAAATTCAAGTCTAGCCGACACTTTCCATATTCAATTTCGTAATAGGATTGTCAATAAAGCAAACTTGTTTTTGCCTTTACAATCCACTATTTTAGTCATATTCAGCTTAAGTAGGTTTCGAAACTACTATTAGATCTTAATTAGGAGTTATATTCACCATATCCCGCACATAGTTCATAAATCTGATCTACTGAGTGTCAAAAACCTACTTTCATAGGAAAAATAAGTTATGTAGTCGATTGGTATAGCAAATATAACTTTGATTCATCGACAATCCCACGACAGAATGTGATATGGTAATATGCCTGGCCTTCCTTGAAATTCACCTCTGCCCTGTGACCCAAGGGCACTCGTGACAATGTGGCATAGTGGTTAACGTGTCGAGAGTATACACTGTATTGTCATGTTTTGAGTCTCGCTAGAGATGGTGATGAGACGAGTTCAGGCGAAGTTGAAACTGCAGCCTAATCCTGCTTGAATGGGAACACCTTTTACGTGGCAAGGCTATATGAAATCCAATGAAATTGTAAGGTATACTCATATCCTTGTTGGGAAATTCAAATACTAGTCCATAATCTACTTAAAAAAACAAGGACGAACACATCTGATATATATATATATATATATATATATGGTTTGATGGTAGTTACGAAAACCTACTTACATACAAAA